GGAAAGAAAACTACAGTGAACATATTTCTCAAGACCTTACTGATTAGATATCGATGTCTCACTTCTCGTAATCGCTCGTTACTTTTTATTGAATCAGTACAAAGAATGTGAGATTGTCAACGTGCTTTCTAGAAAGTTTACGTACAGATAGGAAACCCTCCATACAATGTCATTGATAAAGCCGCGCTGTCGGTTAAAAAAGATTATTTGAATCTACGACATGTAGTTCGCAATATTTCAAATATATCAAGGTCATTAGATATTGGCCCTCTCCCCTTCCCCTCCTTTGCCACCTAATCTCTCCTATACCATTTTGAGTTAAAAGAAGAGAAGAAAAACATCTGATGTTTTACTTATAAGGCGAATATTTTAGCAGTTAATAAATCGTCGAGGGACATTAGTCATGTGTACCATTAAAGTATAATAAGGTCGTACATTTAGACATATATTCAGCGGGAAATGTATGGCGGTTACACTAAACATGTAATATCTTACAATAGCTTACCTCCCCTACCCTAAAGTTAAACATCTGATGCTTTACTTTTAAGGCGACTATTTTAGCAAGTGAGTCATTCGTCGAGCATGTACTAGTGAGCGATCTCCCCTATTATAGTGTCATAGGGTGGTAAATTTAAACATATATGCACCGGGAATTGTATCGAGGTAATACGTATGATATACAAGCAAGACCACACACTTGTCTTTTTCTAACGAATCAGAAAACACGAGTTTATTGCGTGGACGAATATATATTCACGAGTGCGCAAAGCGCAACCAATGAATATATACGTCCGCGCAATAAATGAGTGTTTTCTGATTCGTTAGAAATCAACAAGTCTGTGGTCTTGCTTTTATCACATACCTTCCGTATTTGGTAGAGATCGATACAATGATTTTATAAACCTTGATATTTTTTGCAAATACCAGGAACTTTTCAGTTCGCCATGACAAGGGGATTTCCATAAAATGTAGTTCCGGCTAATAGGTAAATACAATATTCCGTAGTGCACATGTGCAATATAAAACGTTGCAGTTCATGGTCTGAAAATTGCTTGTATTACTATAACAAGATTCAACAGGTATGTGATAAAAAAAGCATAGCTCCCCTTTCTAAAAGTTAAACATACTTATTAGGCGAATATTACAGCGAGTGAATAATTCGCCGAGGATAATAAGTCTTTTCTCCCATTACAGTGTAACAGTTGTGTACATTATAACATAGATTCTAAGAGATTCCACATGAATCAATGACACATGCCTTGATAATTTCCCGATAATTGAATATGATATTTTGAGACCTTAAAGCACACGTTTATCTTTGCTGGATGTCACTGTATCGTAGAATGAATGAATTTCTTTCATAGAGAAAAAATATGATATACAAGTTATTGTACGCTGCTGCATCCTCTAGTGCTTATGCTAACTTTCGCTCACTGCATCCCTGGAATACGTCATAGCAAAATCGAAGGCCCAGTGTGAACCACCTTGTGGACGAGACGAGAAGACAAGCTTGATCATTTGATGCACATCAAAAGAATATCGCGGTCGCGTAACGGTAACATTGACTGGCTGTAAAGTTGAGTGTTGGTCCTCTGAAATCAACAAAGGACATGTATAATCCTAGTGATTGGTAAGTTTGTTTTACCTGAGACCAATCAAATACCCAGCCGCATGCCTTCAATTTTGCTACGACATAATCCAGGAGTGCAGAGAACGTAAGTAAACGTAACCCCTGGAGTATTGAGGGTGAAACTATAGAAGCCTTGAACACCCGTGTCCCGTTAACCGACACCTAAGCCAGTCACCCGTAAATGTAGTCATCTGTGTAAGTAAAGGGGGTATCGTCTGCTGGATAAACGAACTACTCGGTAGCTAGGCGGACATAAAACCACTCAAACAAAGTAAGGAACACATTCCGTCGTGTATTTTTTTTATGACAATTTCAAAGATAAAACAGTTTACGAGCACTTGACAAACATATATCAATTAGCACGTGAACGAGAAATAATGAAATATTAACAACAAAGACGGTAGCCTCGACATGGATGGAGATACATGGTCTGTATGCATGAACACAGCTGGGATTTAATGACTATGTTCAGCAATACTTCATACATGTATATTGACACAAATGTTTAAAAAAAAAAAAAACGAAAAAAAAACTTTGTTGTGAAAATGTTAATGTTATATGCGTACATTTCGCTACATTGACAAGATTTGTTATTATTGAAATAAGCTTGCAGTAGTGTTGGTTTAACAGGATACAGTTTTATTCCATCAATCAAAAGGTTTTCCAAACCAAACAGCCTTGGACCCCAGCCTCGGCCCCCGGCCTTAGCCCCCAAGGCTGGCCACCCATTGTAATTGTATGCTTGATAATAGTCATTCAATTTGTCGGCAATAAATGATGCATAGACAATTATGCATCATAATATTTTATTTATTTTTTAATTTCCGGATGAGCTGATTAATAAGTGCATGTGAATTGTCCACATTTCCAGTGACAGCGATGGCCATTTAAGCAGATCATTGAACTTAAGATATTTATTTTTTTAATTTATTAGTCGTCCAAGTTTGAAAGGTAAACATTTGAACTTAGAAATATAACACCTTACGTGATTTTGTGTAGATTGAATACTTTCTTGAAGAACGCTTACAATGGATATAATAGCTATTACTTATTAATGATTACACATGTGTTATTGTATTTACTATGTGTTAGTGTGTCGCCTACGAACGTTACAGTATATATATAGATCAATCCGACGTCGTCGTCCTCCTAGACGTCGTCGTCGGTTGCGGCGTCTGTAGACCTGTTGCCGTGATATAATTTTTGACGGAATTGTTTTATTTCCCTGAAACTTGAAACAAATACTTATAATATACGTATCAATTACCCGCTCAAGAACAATCATGACATGGATCTGAAATTCAATATGGCCGCCAGCAGCCATCTTAGATTTCAGCATTAGTGATAGTTTCCTTGCGATAAGTCTTTAAAATATTCATGCAACTTTCTACAAATACTATTATACCAGAAACTAATGGAACCAATGGTTTTCTTGCGATAGCTTTAATTCCAACTCAAGTTTGATATTTAGTAAGATTCGAAATTAATGATGGCCGTGGAATTCTTGTCATGTTTATAAATGTAATTACGCTTATTAATGGTTATTATGTTTAGCCGTACATAATTAATTTTGTACAAAATTTCGACTCTAATACATTCTGATATACCTCAGATAATTATTTCAATCGATTTACTTCTAGGCAACAGCTATTAATGTTCAGGCATTGCAATTTACATCAGCAGTTGGATTGCTTCCCGAATCCTTTCGTTATCATCTTTAAAAATACTTGAAATAAGCTTCAAGCTATATTTAGTCTTCAAGTTGTTTACTGAAAACAGATTTAACGAACGATTTTTGTGCAGTGTTACCTCATCAAAAGGCCGTGTTTTTACTTAATTGTTATTTAGTTTAGTGATATATTCATTTGACCAATTACATGGGCGTCCGTGGACCAAATCAGGGAATTTACAATGAACCCGGGAGACAAAAAAGGACCGGCAAAACAGCAATGAGAGGTTTTATATTTGTTTTTGTAACTAGTTATCAGCGGATTAGGTGCAGCCTGCTGTTTGTACGTGTAGTCATCAGTGGATTAGGTGCAGTCTGCTGTTTGTACGTGTTGTCATCAGTGGATTAGGTGCAGCCTGCTGTTGGTACGTGTAGTCATCAGTGGATTAGGTGCAGTCTGCTGTTTGTACGTGTTGTCATCAGTGGATTAGGTGCAGCCTGCTGTTTGGACGTGTAGTCATCAGTGGATTAGGTGCAGCCTCCTGTTTGTACGTGTAGTCATCAGTGGATTAGGTGCAGCCTCCTGTTTGTACGTGTAGTCATCAGTGGATTAGGGGCAGACTGCTGTTTGTAAGTGTAGTCATCAGTGGATTAGGTGCAGCCTGCTGTTTATACGTGTAGTCATAAGTAGATTAGGTGCAGCCTGCTGTTTGTACGTGTAGACATCAGTGGATTAGGTGCAGCCTGCTGTTTGGACGTGTAGTCATCAGTGGATTAGGTGCAGCCTCCTGTTTGTACGTGTAGTCATCAGTGGATTAGGGGCAGCCTGCTGTTGGTACGTGTAGTCATCAGTGGATTAGGTGCAGCCTGCTTGTTGTACGTGTAGTCATCAGTGGATTAGGTGCAGTCTGCTGTTTGTACGTGTTGTCATCAGTGGATTAGGTGCAGCCTGCTGTTGGTACGTGTAGTCATCGGTGGATTAGGTGCAGCCTGCTGTTTGTACGTGGAGTCATTAGTGGATTAGGTGCAGCCTGCTGTTTGTACGCGTAGTCACCAGTGGATTAGGTGCACCCTGCTGTTTGTACGTGTAGTCATCAGTGTATTGGGTGCAGCCTGCTGTTTGTACGGGTAGTCATCAGTAGATTAGGTGCAGCCTGCTGTTTGTACGGGTAGTCATCAGTAGATTAGGTGCAGCCTGCTGTTTGTTCGTGTAGTCGTCAATGGATTAGGTGCAGTCTGTTGTTTGTACGTGTAGTCATCAGTGGATTAGGTGCAGTCTGCTGTTTGTACGTGTTGTCATCAGTGGATTAGGTGCAGCCTGCTGTTGGTACGTGTAGTCATCAGTGGATTAGGTGCAGTCTGCTGTTTGTACGTGTAGTCATCAGTGGATTTGGTGCAGCCTGCTGTTTGTACGTGTAGTCATCAGTGTATTAGGTGCAGCCTGCTGTTTGTACGTGTAGTCATTAGTGGATTAGGTGCAGCCTGCTGTTTGTACATGTAGTTATCAGTAGATTAGGTGCAGCCTGCTGTTTGTACGTGTAGTCGTCAATGGATTAGGTGCAGTCTGCTGTTTGTACGTGTAGTCATCAGTGGATTAGGTGCAGCCTGCTGTTGGTACGTGTAGTCATCAGTGGATTAGGTGCAGCCTGCTGTTTGTACGCGCCTTTCAGTAACAAAGTACTTGGTAGCGTTACTAACCTTATGTTGCCTTCCCGAAGGTACATCTAAAAAAGTTGTGCTATTTCTGTAGAAATAATAAAACGGCCGTTGATGACGTTAATTCCTTGACGACCGACTGTCTTTCTAAAAATAGTACCAAAGGGGATAACTGTCGACATATTCCGTGCACAGTAAATCACTGTGGGTAATAAAGTAAAGCAGAACACACATGTCACATCGTCAATGCGCTAAAACATATACAGAACTCATAATCAGTACGATTAAACAGCATGAACCGAGGAGACATCAAAACAACCTGAACAGAGGAGAGGCCGAAACAACTGGAATAGAGGAGACATCAAAACAACCTGAACAGAGGAGAGGCCGAAACAACTGGAATAGAGGAGAGGCCGAAACAACTGGAACAGAGGAGAGACCGAAAAGCAACTGGAACAGAGGAGAGGGAAACAACTGGAACAGGGGAGAGGCCAAAACAACTGGAACAGAGGAGAGACCGAAACAACTGGAACAGAGGAGAGGCCAAAACAACTGGGACAGAGGAGAGGCCAAACCAACTGGAACAGAGGAGAGATCAAAACAACTGGAACAGAGAAGAGACCGAAACAACTGTAACAGAGGAGAGATCGAAACAACTGGAACAGAGGAGAGGCAGAAACAACTGGAACAGAGGAGAGGCCGAAACAACTGGAACAGAGGATAGGCCGACACAGGAACAGAGGAGAGGCCGAAACAACTGGAACAGAGGAGAGACCGAAGCAACTGGAACAGAGGAGAGGACGAAACAACTGGAACAGAGGAGAGACCGAAACAACTGGAACAGAGGAGAGGACGAAACAACTGGAACAGAGGAGAAGCCGAAACAACTGGGACAGAGGAGAGGCCGAAACAACTGGAACAGAGGAGAGATCGAAACAACTGGGACAGAGGAGAGGCCGAAACAGCTGGAAAAGAGGAGAGGCCGAAACAACTGGAACAGAGGAGAGACCGAAACAACTGGTTTGTGCGCACGATGGACGAACGTGGAACAGAGGAGAGATCAAAACAACTGGAACAGAGGAGAGGCCGAAACAACTGGAACAGAGGAGAGGCCGAAACAACTGGAACAGAGGAGAGGCCGAAACAACTGGAACAGAGGAGAGACCGAAACAACTGGAACAGAGGAGAGACCGAAATAACTGGAACAGAGGAGAGGCCGAAACAACTGGGACAGAGGAGAGATCGAAACAACTGGACGGAGGAGAGGCCGAAACAATTAGAACAGAGGAGAGGCCGAAACAACTGGAACATAGGAGAGATCGAAACAACAAGAATCAAAGAAAAACCGGAACCCTGTAAATATATAAAGACATACGAACCAAAGGAAGTAAGGAGACAAACATAGTAAGGACAAGTTAGCGAGATGCTAATATAACATGACCAAATGGAATACATGTATCATGCTACAGTGTCCAGGTTAAGATATTGCGATGAGATAACTCTTTGAAGTGGCCCCTTCACCCGCTGACACGTCTTCATAGGACTTTCGCAATTACGAGAAGGAAACAATCCAAACAAGCTTTGTTGATATCAGAGTTAACGTTAGCGTGGACCACTCAGTATCCTATCACTGTTAGCGAGGACCACCCAGTATCCCATCACTGTTACAGCGAGGACCACTCAGTATCCTATCACTGTTAGCGAGGACCACTCAGTATCCCATCACTGTTAGCGAGGACCACTCCGTATCCCATCATTGCTTCGTTCAAATAGTGTGTTAAAAAAACATACTATCGATTATTAAGTCCTGCCCCTCTCGTCACACCAATAATGCTACTTAGCATTATCCTTATAAAAAGTATATGATTTTTAATGAATTTAAAACATTGTCATATCATGACCTTGGTCGTGGTTCTATTTGTAAAAGTTATAAAAGTGCAGTTGTGGTATCGCACAACGTTACACGATGTGCGATGTGCGCACGGTGTGTGAACGGTGTGTGCCCAATGGGCGAACGATAAAAAGCTGGACGATCATTGCTTGCGCACATTTGTGCGCACGATGGACGAACGTTGTGCGATAACAAACGTGGTTTGTGTAAATTGAGGAATCCCACAACTGTATAAGGAGCTTCTATAAAGGTGATGTATGTTTAATGATAAAATGTTGGTATCATGTTTGGACGAAAATTCGCATCTTGAACATTTTGTTCGTTTGTTTTGTTTTTGGTTATTTTTTCTACAATTGTTTTTTTTTCCAAAATATTTTGCCAGAAAATACTGTATCAAATATTTGCCGATCATTCATACCACTTCCTTTCATTTTGAGACGTCGACGAAAGACAAAAATATCATTGCTGTACTGATACAATACAATACGAATGTTTTGGATCAACAAATAAATGCGTAGTATTTTGATGAGCGGTTCACATATCGACCTACGTATTGACTTTACGTTGACCTAACGTTGTCGACGTCCGCCCTGACCCAGACATAGAGGTAAGGAAATATAGATTGTCCCTTTGATCGTGCAGTTAAGTCGTAAGTGTTGTGTTCACTGTACTCGAATTATCCAATAATTCTAATGATTTATGAATAACCATATTTACAAAATCTAAGACGGAGCTGATAGGCACAGGCAATGTCGATACAGTACAGGCTGCTTAAGATGGCGAATGAGTGTAGGCTTCATGAAGCTTTTAAATAATCGCGTGACGATTCCTGTAACGTACTTGTTGTGTAATTGTTCGATTTCAGTTTACTAAATTATATATGTATCCTTGTTTAACTTCACATTCGGGAGCATATCACGTCTCGGGTTAACAAACACTAATGTCCCCCTAGTAAAATGTATTAAACGTGAAGTATATCTCTGGACTTAAAAAAAAGATTTAGTGATAAAAAGTTGTATTTACAAATACTTTAGGGTCGACACGCGCGGACAATGGGCCAGAGGGTGATAGCTGACCCCGGGGAGCAAAACCCACCCCACATCACAGTAGTGTATAAAATATATATCTTACCAACATCACACGCCTGTGCAAAGTGTTCAGCGCTACCAAGAAGAAAACAATCAATAATTCATAGATAAGCGTGACGAGGCAGCACGTGCGGTCCCCGTGGGACGTAATCCGGGTACTTGTAGCCTAGACAGGATCCGACGTCCTGTGTACGTGGAGTGTATCACTGTTATATATGCTTTGTCATTAAGTATGTGTTTGATGCAAATTGAAATGATTATCGTTTTATCATAAATGTTAACCATGGCATAATATCAATTTTGGGTTCTTTGGCACAGTTTGTGAAGCTTTGCGATCCCACAGACGCGGGATGCGGGAGTGTCCTTGAGCAGGAGACTTCATTACATGACTCCACGCTCCAACAGTGGTTTGGTTTGGTTCTATTTTGTTTATTGTCCCATGAACAGCCAATGTCATTTAAGGATGTATATTGGGTATTGCAGTTTCTGTTACATTCAATTGGTATAGCCCTATCACTGAACCGTTGGAAAACGGACCCAGAACAAGCAGGGCACGTAATCAACACCCGACATACACACATTTCACACCATTGATTACATGGTAAGCTGTGCTTGATCATGACTGAACACACACTGTCCTGATTGAGTTTGATATACGTGCCTATCATTTACTGGATATAAAATATAAAATTTTGCTCATTTGTATAATATCCTATGAACAGCTAAGGCCACTTAAGGACGTGTTGGATGCAAAAAGTAATCTTATCAAGATTACATTTGGCGATTTGATATAGTTATATAATATGATATATAATTACAATAAAATCTCGGTATACTTCAACCATTTGTCTAAGAGAAATATTGGCATTATAAAGGGGTTTGGCGATAAATGGAGGGAACTTAATAAAGGAATTCTTCAGAGAACGAGGTATGCATTGGTGGTTAACGAGCTGGTAAATGAAACGAGGGACATTATATCGAGGTTGTACTGTATATTAACGAGGGACATTATATCGAGATTGTACTGTATGTAAACGAGGGGCATTATATCGAGGTTGTACTGTTTATTAACGAGGGACATTATATCGAGGTTGTACTGTATATTAACGAGGGTCATTATATCGAGGTTGTACTGTGTATAAACGAGGGACATTATATCGAGGTTGTGCTGTATATAAACGAGGGACATTATATCGAGGTTGTACTGTATATTAACGAGGGACATTATATCTAGGTTGTACTGTGTATAAACGAGGGACATTATATCGAGGTTGTGCTGTATATAAACGAGGGACATTATATCGAGGTTGTATTGTTTATAAACGAGGGGCATTATATCGAGGTTGTACTGTATATAAACGAGGGACATTATATCGAGGTTGTACTGTATCAGTCTTTTGTTGTATACATACATGTAATCATATCTGTAAATTACTATAGAAGTCTAATTAGTACGCGTGTGTACAGCATACATTAGAACAAAGGACCACAAGCTACTAGTTAGCTTACAACGATGTCATCTGAGCGAAACTGAGCGAATATATGACACACCAGTGACGTGTTTATGTGTGGCGTTTCGATTACTAGTAATGTATTCTTGTCACCTTTATACGAATGCTGTCCTAGGCTCGGTAATAACCGGAACAAGGACGAACAGCCCTAGCCATCAATCAATCAAGCAAACGATTGATCAACCAATCAAACAAGGCTTCATCAGACAAAAGATCAGTGACGCGTATGTACGTTTGAATTCCTCATAGACATTGGTCATTGCAGGTATCAAATAAGAGGCCGACCACCAGATTATAGTATTAGATGTTCAAAACGTAACACGAATAAATCACAAATACACATTTCAGATAAAGATATCATTGTCTAATACACTTATGATATGATACATGTTATACAGTAGCAGAAATGTCGACCCTTTTAAGTGCTGTACATTTTCATTCGTATTCCAAAGTTTTCAAGGTTTGTTGCAGAACAACAAAGATGGCGTATACTAGACTAGCTTGACACTCAAGGCTTTGACTAGAGATTCAACCTATTGACCTTCAGTCCATGACTACTAGTGGTTCTCTCACTAGACGTTAAGTATGAAGGTCAACCTCATGACCTTAAGTCCATGACTACTAGAGGCTCTCTCAATAGACCTTAAGTGCGAACTTCAACCTCTTGACCTTCAGGTCATGACTACTAGTGGTTCTCTCAATTTACGTTTAGTGCGAAGGTCAACCTCTCGATCTTCAGGTATACGTTTAGTGCGAAGGTCAACCTCATGACCTTAAGTTCATGACTGCTAAAGGTTCTCTCAATATATGTTTAGTGCGAAGGTCAACCTCTTGACCTTAAGTTCATGACTATTAGAGTGTATCTCAATAGACGTTTAGTATGAAGGTCAACCTCATGACCTTCAGTTCATGACTACTAGAGTGTATCTCAATATACGTTAAGTGCGACAGTCAACCTCATGGGCAGAAAGAAAAGAGCATTTTAAGTTATCTCATAAATAATGTTACAACAACTGAATTGTTTTTACAAGGTTATCTTAAACTATGTGCATAATAATAGTAGAAAGATCGCTGGACACGTTGTCAATTCCATTTATGAATTCAATAGAAAACTTACATTTCGGGAAATAAAGCTGATTTAGAGCAAATGAAAATTAACGTTCAGGATCTGATTAAAGTTATTGCTCTATCATAGAATAAAACAAAACTCATAAAACGTGCCCGCGAAAACATCAGCGCTACAAACGTATTCCCTTCTGGAGACTATTACTTAAACCAATTCTAATAGATCTTGATGAAGATGTTTAAGTAGACAATCGCGCGAATGGTTTTATACATAATTGACTGTAATGAGAATTGTGAATGCTATACATGTTTGTGGTATTAAAAACATGTAATTATCGAGAATTTCGCTGATGGTGTTAATTCCCTCTCGACAACAGAATTATTCCATCCGCTACAACTTTAAAACACACTCAGTGTTACAATTAATGACACGAAACATTAAACAAATACGATTTAAAATTAACCGCTTTCCGTTGGCTGAATTACGTACATAATACCACTTTCAGGCCGACAGTCTTTACAATTAGCACAAATTTCGCGCAGAAATGAAACAAGTTTTTCGATTGTTTGTCCTGTAGCCATGAAATAAATTTTCTGAGGCATATAAAATTGTATTACAAATGAACCTGTCTATTTAGATATTT